AGAGAGTGGCATTCTTGTAATTTATAAGGAGAGAGAGATGGCATTCTTGTAATTTGTAAGAAAGAGAGAGAGAGAGAGTTGGTAGGAGAGAGAGTGGCATTCTTGTAATTTAAAAGAAAAAAAGCAAGATTCGAATTAGAGACTTGAGCTTGAGCTCAGAAGTTCGAGCTCGGCTCGACTCGAACTCAACCACCTTTGATCGTAGGTCCCCTAGCAATTGAGATGTCGAGCTAAGATCTCCCTCAGTTGGAGAGAGAGTGACATTCTTATAATTTGAAAAAAAAAAGCAAAAAAGAGAGAATTGATAGAGAATGGCATTCTTATAATTTCTATAAAAAAAAAATGACAAAATATAAGTAACCATTTCAGCTTAATATATTTATATAAATATTGATATTAATTATCATGTGTGCTGTAAGGACATATCTTCAAGTGCTAATTTAGGGTTTAATTATTTAAATGACAAATTATGACATCGGAAAGACACCATATCTCAAAAACTATTTTTTTATACCCATATCTAAAATAGTTGTGATCAATCATATGGTATTTAACAAAATTCATGGGCAAGTTTTGATCAATCAAACCTCTTCTGGTCCCATGTCTTTCCGGCATGATAGATATTAAGAAACCCTTTCTAGTTTGTAAAGGCAAATTTTAAACATATAAGTAATACAAAATATATTTATACATAGATTGATTAAATGTAAAGTAATAATTTGGTATAGTTCATCATAAAATCCAGTTTGTTACTAATCAATCCAACCCAATAATATATCAATTCATTTGGAATATTCCAATTCAATCGGGTAAGCATAAAGGATTATCCAAATCCAGCCAATCCAAATCGAATCCATTGACAGTGGTTTCAACCTGTTGTTGACATAGATGAACAAACTAGATCAATGACCAGTGACCAGTGACCTGAATGGCTGTTTTGTTGCCATGTTAGCCGTGTTTTCCTTAAGGATTGGAGGTACTGAAAAGACATGATACAGAAAAGGTTTTGTTTTAATTGTCATGATGTCATGGGTTTCTTTAAGGGAGAAAGACGGTTCAGCCCAGGGTCATAATTTGTAAATTTGTTGGCTCAAATTACTATTGAGGTAGGTGTCAGCTTGGAATTAATGACGGTTTACGGGTGGGCATTGGTGCATGGGTTGTTAGACATTTTGAATGTTTATACCTAAGGTTCAAAGTATCATTACATATCGGCTCATATTGACCGATATGTATCATTCCGGGACTCTTCTGATATGCCCCTATAGTGGGTGTATCGGGGGTCTATCCGGTTCAGGGGATGGAGGGGTCCTAAACTGGCTCCCCTGAACCAGTTTTGAAAAAAAAAAAGTAAAAAAACAAGTATCAAAATGCCCGATACGCCCCTATCGGCATATCGGGCGTATTGATATTTTGAACCTTGCTAATGAACCATACACTGGGATTTTAAAGCATTAATTTATTCATAAATTAACTAAAGGGGTATTTGGTATTGTTGCATTCCGTTTTAAGTTTAATGAATACAAATTTATGAGAAAGTGATAATCTACCTGAAATGTTTCATAGACCTCCCCAAAACCCATAGCAGGTTGAATTTTTAGAATCCAAACCCTCCTCGAGCATGAACATGTAAAATCCTCCCCACATTTGAGGGTGAGGCATGTTAGATTGGTGGATCGGGTCTAAAACCCATATCTAATTTCCTATTATATAACAGAACAAACATCAAAATTTACAATTATTTGACTAAAACATATAAAAAACACAAACTATCAATTATCCTTAACAAAAAAATTAAAATATTATTAAACTCAGCAACTAATACATTGGGTTTAGCCTAACATCATATCTTACCTATACTTGTATAGTTTGTAAAATCCCAAAATCCATTTTCAAGCAAAAATAAATACATCAGGGCAGGTCCATTAAATAGGGTAGAAATAGTCATCCCTACACAAAACACAACAACAATGCATTTCTAACATACCAAACACCCCCTAAATTAAGTGTGTCAATAGCAATTAACTGTTTTACACGTATTGAAAAAGGAAACCAAAAGAAATGAATATCACAATAAAGCCGTTACTTACCTGAAAAGTGCATTTACCCATATTCTTTTATTTCCTAGGTAAATAATGCAATGACCATTTTAGCCATAAAAATCTATTATTTAAAGGGGCATTTTTGTCCTATCAAAGTATTGGGAATTTTCCCCCAGGTGAAAAAGTTATTTATCCACCTAGGAGATGGGTATCACTTTCCCTCGAGTAAGTGATACTAAGGAAAATAAATTTTCCCTAGTCCCACATAAATGTGAAAAAATAACATGAGTTTTTTGGTCAATGGAAACCAAAATCCTAGAAATTACATCTACACCCCACAAACGCTCCACATACACATCTCAACATGCATCGGGAACTCTCCCAAAGTTGTTGTGGGAGATATTCCCAATACATGGTTGGGATATGCTATGGGGCGTTTGTGGGGCACAAATATGAATTCAAAATCCCATTTACCAACTTTCTGCTATGGGGCATTCCAAAAAGGAATGCCCCCTAAGTGCTAAATGGTAAATAATTTCTAAATAAACATCGGATGGTCTTTAAATGGCAAAAATACAACCTAAAATGAAGTAAGTTTGGGTTCATATTTTTCATTTGTCATAACCCTAATTAACCTGACTTTCAACACCATCCAACTTAAATTGAATTTATTGCACCTTCTCAATGACCATTGCATTAATCATTTCAGTTTGTACCATTATATCCATAAAAATGAAAGAAAGAGAGAGAAAAGGGTTATCCGGGAGAATTGGGATCTGCTCCTCTTCAAAAGGCGCCTCACACTAACCTCACAACCACATTCCACCATGTATTAGAAATACCTCCCCTAAATAAATAAATATAAATAAAGAAAAAATTTCCAATATACGATCAGGACATAATGTGAAATCGGTGTGAGGCGCACTCTGTAAAAATCCGGTTTCTATGTGGGACTTGTGTCATAATGGAGAAGGCATGCATGACCCAACAGGGGGTGTGTGGGATGGATGCCATAATTTGAATACTGACCTGACCGGTCGTGCCCCCAAACCCAAAAAAAGGTGGGTTTGAGGAATCTCATTCAGTTTCAGTCCTCACTAAATTTGTCTCATTAAGATTGAGAGAACATCTCCCATCCCATGAATGAAAAAATATAAGTAGGGAGATGGTGTGGTAATCCCGTTTCGGGTTTGAGGCATTGAACTTTGAAGTAAAAAGGTTTTACAAATTGGATCAAACACGGAACTATTTTAGAAATCGGTTTCTGGGTTGAATGGTCCAATTGTTCGGTTTGCATGGACAGTTGATTTAAAAAAATTATTAAATAAAAGGCCAAAAACCATTGTTGTTGAGTCGATGGATTGATGGTTCAACTACCTGAATCAGCAGGTCATTGACCAAATCAATGGTTTTTGGTCCAAGAATGGTTTTAGGGTGAAACAGAACCAATTGCCTAACCGGTTCGTGGGTCAACCAGTTCGGTCCAATCTAATTTTTAAAACCATGTTTGAAATATCTAATCATGCCGGGCCTAACCCCTCCGGTCTAGGTCTCTGGGATAAGAGAGTCACTTCGGATCCATTGTGTTTGGACTCTAAGGGATTTTCTCTTCGAGTCTATTAAAATTTTGGGAGAAGTACAAATCAGCACAGCTCAAAATTTATTAGACCCAAATTACAGGGGGAATGCATCCTGACCGTGAATTGATGCCAAATTCACGGGCAGGATGTGGTTTATAGGGGGACAGGGCTACTTGTGGGGGGAGCTGGAATTCAGAATTCTGCATCGTGTGTCTCCGTAGTTTTCCCTAAAATTTTTTGACACGTCATTCATTACTCAATTGATCATCACCTGCAAACGGTTGAAGTTTTATGACTGATAACAAAAGATAATACCGAGAGAAAATTCCAAATCCCTCACCGCCTCATCACGTTCTCGTTCTCAGACTCGAACCTGCTCGCCAACCCAACCATTAATCTTCATCAACAGTGTTTAAAGTTCAAACCGCAACAGAACAGCGTTCAAAGGAAACATGCAACGAGCAAGCCAGAATGATCGATCCACATTCTACTTTCTGATTTGCAGAGAGAGAGAGAGAAGAAAAATGGTGAAGACTCAAACGGAAATAAATAATTAAGCACAGTTTTCTTGGTCTTAACTGGTGAAACGCAAATGGGTTTCTGTATATGGGTATTCTGGGGATGGATTCATCTTTTGTGAGAGTTGTGTAGTAACATGAACGGATAGCCCAAAGAATTTTCACCCAAGCTCTCGAAAGGCCTTCTTCAACCTTGTGCTAGCTATACTTCTGCATATAATTGAAAGCAACAAGAAAACTAAATTGAACAAAAATCAATATTGAAAAAGGAAAATAAAAAGAAAACATTTTGAATTAAACAAGCTTGAACTGACTCACTTTAGTAAAGAATTCTTGTATCAAATTCATGGCTGGAGCTGGTAGCCGTGCCAAAGATATTTGCGGCACATGAGGATTGATCTTTCTGTGATTAAAATGGATAATGGATGAACTGAAAAAGGTGGCGAAGTTAGTTTTGCTGACTAAACAGACAAAAGTAGAGAAGCACAAAGAGAATAGGGAAGACCGGAAGAACACCGTTGCAGTTGCCGTTAAAATTGTAATGGTTGGGTGAGGGGAGCATGGTCTGAGTCTGATAACAGAGAGTTTTAGAATTTTTGTTAGCATTGGCATTTTATTTTAAAAATTTGTAAACTTAATATTTTTTATTTTTGTTTGTCATTTATAAAGCTTCAACCGGTCGCAGGTAATGGCCGGTGGATCACCCAATGACGTGTTAAAATTTTATTTGACTCGAAGAAAACATCCCTTCGAGTCCAAACGCAGTGGATCCGGAGTGGAGTCCACTGGTTAGAGACTACGATTCTACTGGCTACTGAGTAGTGACTACTGGTAGTGGTAGGTAGGTGGTTGGGTGATCCACCGGTTTCAACTTCGTCCACTGGTTAGAACGTGGAGGAAGTTGAAATTGGGGCTGACCCAGACATGCCCCATTATTATTGGGTGGTTACTGGTTTATTTACGACTTTGCAAGATTGTTTTGGTTTCACCAAACACAACTTTGCGAGATTGGTTAGGTAAGAACGAGCGAATGGCAACTGCATCTCTAGCTCGAGAACAGACCCGCCAATTTATAATTATTGCATTTATGTATTCTCGTTCGCTCTCTCTCTCTCTCCATCTGAGTTAAGCTCAAGTTTGCAGGGAAGATTCAGCGATGGCGGTGGTTCAGAACAAGCAAATTATCTTCAAGCACTACATTGAGGGAATTCCTGTGGAGTCAGACATGGAACTAAAGGTCGGGAATATTAAGTTGGAGGTTCCGGAAGGGTCCGGGGCTTTTCTTGTGAAGAATCTCTATCTTTCCTGTGACCCTTATATGCGAGGAAGAATGAGGGATTTCAATGATTCCTACATTCCCCCTTTTGTTCCTGGGTCGGTAAGGACTGCCTCTTAGTGTTGATTGTTGTTCTGTTTGTTATACTTTAGTCTACTACCAGTTTTTAACATTCTGAAGTATTTCTTAGTCATCCTCGTATATTTTCAAATGGTAGTCTCTGTTTTTTTTTTTTTTCTAAAGATTTTGCTGCAAAATGTTTATTTCCTTTGTTACTTGTGATTCTTAGTCATCCTCGTATATTTTCAAATGGTAGTCTCTGTTTTTTTTTCTAAAGATTTTGCTGCAAAATGTTGGTATTTCCTTTGTTACTGGTGATGGGATTTGCTTGCTATTCCTAATTAGAAAATTATTTTGATCTATCTAAAGTGTAGTGTAAAAGCAATTACAATGTTTCTTATTTATTTGTTTATATTTCTTTTTAGCACCTTGTACGTATTCTGTTCTTGAAAAGATAGGTGTTACTTTGGTAGATATCTGTTGTGCTATTTTTAAAGAAGCTTCGCCAAGTTTTTGATAATCTTTTCATGGAAAAATTGGGTTTCCTCCCTATGATTTTGTTACAGATGTAAGTGAATTTATGAGTCTATCAAAATTTTGACTTCTTGAAATCTGTCTTACTTTGAATTTACTCTGACATTTTCTTTTATGGGTTTCTAGGGAGTTTTGTAACGTTTGTTTCATGCTTAGAGCACTCAAAGATATACTAATTTGTGCATGAATGAATGTACTTCATATTGAACAACTACCACGACATGTTGGCCGTAGCACTGGTTCTAGACATTGTACTGCATTCTCATATGCTTTGCTATTATTGGAACACGACTATCTAGTCTCAAAGTACTGCATTAGTATGAATAGGGATGGATACAGGAAGAACCGTTCCTTCTTTTTAACTTTCTCAGTTTTGTTAAGGATGAATCTCTAGATATGGTTACTTAACCATTTGTAGTCAAATGAAGGTCATTGAGGGGTTTGGCGTGTCGAGAGTTGTGGAGTCTGATAACCCAAATTTCAAGCCAGGCGATTTGATTTCAGGATTGACTGGTTGGGAAAAGTACAGCTTGATTACGAGGACTGCACAATTGAGAAAAATTCAGCAAGATGATATTCCTCTTTCATACCATGTGGGTCTTCTTGGTATGGTTGTTTTCTTCCTTCAACAGGCATTCACTTAAGTTCTTGGAGATTTCCTTTTAGTTATTATTAATGCACATGTACCCTTTCAGTGACCTACATATTTCACTTATCCTTCTCAATCTTTATATTCTTCATTCAACAATAGTCTTGCATGTGTCATGTGGCTTTTAACCATCAACTTGGTATGAGTGTAATATTGCCTATACAAGATTGCTTCGTACGTTTATTCCAGTCTGGCATCAAAAAGAAACATTTCTCATGTAGACACTTTTATTGAATCAAAGTCCAAATACTTAAAAATGAGATGAGACCATAGGAGGAGGGAATAGATGCTTAGAAATTTTGGCCTCAATCAACTACATTGTCTAACCTCCCTAGCCTGAGCATTTAAACCACCCTATTAGAGCAAACCAAGAAAAATTAAATGAAAAGGATGCAGAGGAAAAGAGGAAAGAGGAGAGAGAAATAAAATACTGCAAAAATCAAAATAAAATAGAAATAAAAAGGATGACTTCCAGCTTGTGGGAGGATCGTTTAGCTATCAAAAGGAGATTATACTAAACTTCCTTAGCCAAATTCTTAGAACACCTACCAAGGTTAACTTGAGAAGTGTAAGATAAACTACACATTTATCAAGTTTTAGGTATTTTTTTCTTGTCTAATATTATTGATACTTGAATATGTTGCTTGGGGAAACTCAATTTTGTAAGAAAGGAAGTCTTAGTATCTTCTTGAGTGGGGAGAAAAGCTATGCCGTCCTGGTGAAAGCTTTAAAATGAAGAGATAATGCCCCTTAATGTGACAATATGACATTGAGTTCCTTCTAGGAATTTCTTTTTGTTTAATATTTTACTTCAATGATTTTGCTTTTATGCAATTCTAAATTACAATTAAGAAAAAGATCTCTTATCCATTTCCCCTTTTTTGTGTTTCCAAACTTTAAGAAAACGTTGCACAGGCACATGTTTTGATTTAGAGGCTGCTGCACTTAATTATGAAGAAACACGTGGCAATATAAAAAGAACAAGAAAGTGAAGCAGTCACATGCCTGAATTTAGCTATTTGTCTTGTTTAAATTTTGCTTTAATGATTTCCTAGGTTGTTTCTTAGTCAGTTAATGATTTCTAGTTGATTATTACTGTTAGGAAGAGTCTTACAAGGAATATAGATAGTAGATAGCTTTTTTGGGTTTTCCTTGTTATTTTGGGATAGGGTTACTTTTGTAATTTCAGGGTTTTATTGGCTGGCGCCCTAAACAAAACCCCATAAGAACATTATTAGCTTCTCTTTAAGAAAACAAAGAGGATATTCAGTTGCTTCAAGCTTAAGAAAGCTGGTGGTTCTTTCTTAACACTGTTTTTCTTTCTTTCTAAATTTCTCGATCACTTTGGGTGATTTTTTCAGTAAAAATCACAAAAACAGATTTTCTAGACCTGTTCTCCTGGATATGGAGGCATTGGAGCATGAGTTTTCTCTCAATCATGGCCCACAATAAAGCTGCCAACAATGGATTTAAGATTCTCTCAGCATTAGAGTACAGCAGCAACAATTTGCATACTTTCAAGGTTTACAAGCTACTATTAGGTAGTTGACTGAAGCAATCACTAGGACCAATCTTCAGCTGCTTGCTATTACCAGCAAAAGGTAGTTGATCATGGGAACCAGTTTCAGCCACAAGTGGTGGTCCAGTCCCATGAACAACCATGTTTCCATGCCCTAGCAACAACCTTTTATTTTAGTGGTGAAGAGGAATATTTTGATAATTTTGAAGATGAAAATCAGGATATGGGAAAGCCCATTGATTTTAGACAGCCACCTAAGAAAAGAAATAATGGTGATAGGGATTACAAGATGAAGATTGAGATGCCAACATTCAATAGACAGTTGCATATTGAAGATTTCCTTGATTGGATTCGTGAGGTAGAGAAATTCATTGGTTTTGTAGAAACAACTAAAAATAAGGTGAAGTTGGTCTCTTAAAAGCTAAAAGAGGGAGCTGTTGCTTGGTGGGATCAAGTTCAAATGGAGAAAGTCTGATCTGGAACAACCTATTAGGACATGGCCAAGAATGAAGCAGTTACTTCAGGCTCAATTCCTTCCACGTGATTGTGACCAATACTTGTTCCAGTAATACCAGCATTGTGTGCAAAGTACACATGGGATTAGGGAGTATGCATCTAAGTTTTCCAGGCTATCAGTTTGTAATGAATTGGTTGAAATTCCATTACAAAAGGCTGCTTGATTCATTGAGGGTCACAAACCAATCATACAATAAAAGTTGCAGCCCAAGATGTGTGGGATTTGAATGATGCTATTTGTTTAGCTATCAAGACTGAAAGTCATCTTGAACAATACCCAATTAGAAAGTACTACTTGGATAAGACATTTAGGGTTGAGACTACTGTTGAGTAGGGGAAAGAAGTTGTTAAGACATACCAACATTCTCTCTTGAATGCTTCTAAGGCTAGAATGCCCATTGCCCCATTCCATAATACTCTCCAATGAAAGAACCAGCCTAGAGAGGAACCAAATCAGCCTCATTCACAACAAAATCAACCTGTCCAACATGGTAAGCAGCTTAAAAATAGCAACCCATATGCTTACCTTGTAGGGAATAACTGCAGTAAGTGTGGGGGAAGAGGTCACGCTTCTAGCTCTTGCCCACAACCATGTGTTGGATTCCCAGTGATGAAGCTTCTTCGAGGGAGCTCCTTCCTCCAGAAACAGAGTTATGAGAGAGAGAGAGAAGACGAAGAAGAAGAGAGAAACTAAGTTGGTTATGCTTTTTCTGCTCATTCAGTTCTACCCGTAGGCCTTATATAGGCTTTCCTCCTAATCAGCTCATCATGACCACGCGCTTATGCATGTGGGTGGTTAAGACGTGACTTGTGGTTGTAAATGAACCGCAAGGGAGGCTTGCAATGCTTTGCATGTGCCGCTCCTGCTGCTACATGTGCCTCACGACCTGCATGGGCCTGGTGACCCGATGGCGGATCACCTACCTGGGTTCTATCATCTCCCCCACCCTTAAGAATGACCTTGGCCTCAAGGTCAAGATGGGGAAACTGCTCCTACAACTTACTGAAGTCTTCCCAAGTGGCATCCTCTGTGGGCAGGTTCATCCACTGAACAAGAGCTTGCTTCACCACTTTGCGACCAACCTTTATTCAGTGGATATCTGAGATGACATTGGGCTCAACAATCAGCTGCCTTTCACTAGTAAACTCAGGTAATAGTGGCTTCACCAAGTCTGCATCTGTTCGACATGGCTTGAGGAGTGCGATATGAAATACTGGGTGGAGCTGGGCAGTACTCGGCAAGTCTAATTTGTAAGCTACTGCTCCCACTATCCCTGAGATGCGGAAGAGACCAAAGAAACGAGGTGAGAACTTCTGCCATGCTTGTTTTGCCAGAGATGACTGCCTATAAGGTTGTAGTTTTAGGTAGACTAAGTCCCCCACCCGGTACTCCACATCGCAATGTTTCTTATCATACTGCATCTTCATGTAATTCTAGGTTTTGAGTAAGTGGTTCTTGAGTGATTGCAGTGCTTTGTCCCTGGCTTCGAGTTGCTGTTCAACCTCTGCAACTAATGATGTGCCCTTCTCATAGGGTAACACGGAGGGTGGGTCCCTTCCATACAAGATCTTGAATGGGGTGGTCCCAGTAGAAACATGATAAGTGGTATTATACCAGAATTCCGCCCATGGAAGCCATTTTAGCCACTGGGTAGGCTTTTCTCCTGCGAAACACCTGAGGTAGGTCTCTAGACAGCGGTTAACCACTTTTGATTGCCCGTAAGTCTGCGGGTGGTAGCTGGTGGAATGGTAAGTGTGAGTACCTTGTGCCCAAAAGTATTCTTCCCAAAATCGGCTCACAAAGGTTGGGTCCCGATCTGTGATGATAGTTGTTGGAGTACCATGTAGCTTAGCCACTTCTCGAATGTAGACCTGAGCTACTTGAGATGCCGTGTAGGGGTGGGAAAGCGCAGCAAAGTGCGCATACTTGCTCAATCTATCCACAACAACCAGTATAACAGATTTCCCTCCAGACTTAGGCAACCCCGTGATAAAATCCATAATTACCTTGTCCCACACCTGATTTGGAATGGGTAAGGGCTGTAGCAACCCAGCTGGGGTTTGGGCCTGGTATTTCTAGGTCTGGCATACAAAGCAACTCGCAACAAAATCCTGCACCGCCTTCTTCATTCCCCACCAGTAGAAGTGTGCTGCTATGCGCTTATAAGTTCTGATCATCCCAGAATGACCTCCCTCTACTGTCTCATGGAACAACTTCAAGAGATCTATGTGAAAAGCCGATTTGGGTGCTATCACTAGCTGCCCTTTGTAGAACAAGTCTGAACCCACTAGGGAGTACCCTGCCACTCGGCTTGCCCCTGATCCCAATTGTTCTCGATGAGATCAAGCAAGGGGTGGAGAGGTCTGTAAACTGTCAAAGAGTTCATTTCTTCTCTTCTGGATAGAGCATCAGCAGCTGCATTGGATGGGCCAGGTTTGTATTCAATGGTAAAACCAAAGCCCATTAACTTGCTGGCCCACTTCTGTTGTTCAAGGTTAAGAATCCTTTGTTCCATTAAATGTTTGAGACTCCTCTGATCAGTCCTGACTGTGAATTTTTGCCCCAACAAATAAGCTCTCCACTTGTGCACCGAGAGCACCAAGGCCATCAACTCTTTGTCATAAGTAGACTTTAATTGGGCTTGGGCTGATAAGAACTTACTAAAATAAGCAATAGGGTATCCCTCTTGCATCAAGACTGCACCAATTCCTCTGCCCGATGCATCACACTCCACAAATTGCTTGGAAAAGTCAGGTAAGGTCAGGGTAGGTGGTGTCGCCATCGCCTTCTTGAGGGATTCAAATGCTACCTCCGCTTGTTCTGACCAAGTAAAGGCATCCTTCTTCAACAGAGCTATAAGAGGGGCGGCTAGGGAGGCATAACCTTTTATGAACCTTCTGTAGTAGCCGGTGAAACCCAGA